TGGAAAAGTTAGATGTTGCACAACAGAATCAGACGTTGCAAAACAGAGTAAAACCCAAACTCAACCAAAGCAGGGCTCCTATGAATGTGTGGGCTGCTGCTCACTCAGGAGAGCGCTCCATGGAGACCGACACAAAGCCTCATTGACAGACAACGAGACAGCGTGAACATTTCTTTTCTCCATCACCATTACTTATACTCTGGAGGGATTTGCTGCACTCTGCAGTGCACTTGTGTGTTATGTTAACCAATGCACGACCTCAGGATTATGCCATTTAAAATAGAGAAAGAAAATGTAGTAAATTCATGTTGAAAACTTACAGCAGCAGAGGCACAAATCCAAAATGAGCGAACAGGGTTGTTTTCACACTCTGACCATCCAGGACACCCACTAGTGAAGGTATCTATGACAACAACATGCATATTTGCTTGGGTTAACTCCTCAAAGTAAAATACAACAAAGGAGATAAATCTCACAACACTACATAACTACAATGGACAGTAAAGAAAAAAGAACAACCTAGGGCCGTTTATGTTGTGCCCTAGCTGTCCACCCTCAGCCGCTTAATCAGAGGGTTGACTCAAAATCTTCTCTGAGTAGCTCCAATGTAAATCACTTCTATAGTGTGTTTGGATCAATTAATAAAGAATAAAACCTGAACATGCTGGTTTATTCAAAGCAATTTTTGCGTAATCGATTATTTCCAAAACTAGGAACAAAGTGAAACCTTTCGCACCTCATAGGGAATACACCCCTGATGAGTAAGCTTATGGAGACATGTTTTAACAGAAACATAATTTCTATCTCAAAGATAAACTTATTTAAAAAAAAAAAAAGATAAATGATGCTTGTCTACATAGGATGTGTTTGCCGAATTTGCACTGAAACCAAAAGTTAAAAAAAATCTTTATTTGGGTGTAACAACCTTGACTTTATTATTACTATTAACTGATTCGTTTATTATTATATACATCATTGTGAGGTGGCCGAGCATCTTACAACAGTTTCTGTGCCATTTCTGGTGAGCTGAGCTTAAACTATTAGCAAAAGTTTATTTGGGGGAAAAGTGCTATTAATCAACCTTAATATCTTTGTTCTACTGTGGTTTTAATGAGTCTTTTTAAAAAGAGGAAGCTAGAAAGATGCTCTGCTGACAGAAAGTCTTGTAGAATTCTATGTTTCTGTTTTCTGTAGCCTGACACTGTTTAACGTTACAAGGTTTCTTGATCATTCTCAAGCGATAGCGTTTGTTCTTCTCAGAACAAGTGAGGGCATGAACACCACAGTTAAAGGTTTATCTGATCTGTGTGTGAGTGTAGTCTGCATGTGGCAAGTTTACGAAATTCTCCTTAAATGTCAGGGCTCAAAAACCTTGACATGACTTGACTTGCTGTTGGTATGTAAATTTAACAACGGGCCATACAAATAACAAATCATGTCTGGCACGACAAATTACATATATTTTTAGATTCTAGCACGACTTATATGAACTTCTGCTGGTGCTCTTTCGCTGGTGTGTAGTTTGTTGCACTGTTCAAATAATAAACTGTGATTTTTATCTGCTGCTTTGAGAGTGTTACCATTGCTGCCTTCTTTTCCACACCAGGTCAGACCATCCAGGACAGATCCCAACAGAGTGTCCTCCAAAGTGACAAAACAATCCTTTCTCTTCTCAGTGAAACCATGGACCACATCCTTTGTTTTGCTCCAGAACATCGTCTAACCCACAAACTCTGCATTGTTAGACAGCTCATGAATGATTATGGCAGATGGAATGATTGAGATGGTGTAATCATTGATTATTACTTTGTTGCACTGAGGTTTGAAGGGGGCTGCAGCAATCAGGGGATCATAAGCTTCCACTGGAACTTTACATGGATCCTTGTCCACATAGGCCTGCTGAAAGACACCCCACAGCTTTTTACAGTCATATCTGAAAAACAAATAATGTTTGCTGATGTTTAGGTGTATTTTGATTTAAAGAAAGGCTAAGTATGTTAAATAGTGCAACGTATTTGATATAAAAAAAAAACTAACGAAAAAAACTGGTGTCAACAAAACCAGATGATTAAAGATATTACTGAAAGAAGTTTATGGCAGGGTAACTGCCATGTGGTTAGACCGTGGACGCTGAATGTGCACCTGCTGATATCATATTGTGTAACAAGCAAAATTCAAATATCAAAAAAGGAAACAGGCAAAAACACCTGACGGATAAACTGCAGTTCACGTCTCATTTACTCAAGACACATTATCATTATGTCTAGGTACTGTATGTATTGTATGTGCAGTGGTATACATTACTATTAGATATTAACATCGTGCAAACCAGCTGACTGGATACAAAACAGCAGCAGCTCAATCATTGACTATAACCGATCAATACCAGACCTCAGACCTAACGCCTGTTTTTAAGCAGAGCAATAATAAACCACTTACCACTTCGCAAGTTCAAACGCAGTCACTCCTGCATTTGCCAAGATTGCTCAAACATGGAAACATGCAAGTGCACATGTACACATTCAGTGATTAATCATTATTAATTTGATCATGTGTCTTTTATCATATGTGCGTGCGTCTGAAAATCCCAAAAAGTAAATAAGAAAATGTTGAAATACCACCACTTACTGATTGAACTTCTCACACCCAGACAAAAATGTAGATTCAAATTCACTTTTGTTCTGACGGAGAGTCAGTCCCAACACCACGGCGATGATTACAATAACAATAATGACAACGATGACAATTAATATTACGCAGCGTTTCCTCCGCCGTTTCCCTAGTCGACGAGACTGCTCATGCTCCATTATAAATGCGTAAAAAGTGGTAAAAATGTAGACTTCTGTCTAACAAGTGTGCCCAACAAAAAGTTGTTTACGGTCACTATCGCGCGAGCTCGGACGTCTATTTATGGAGACGCGGAATGACCGCGCACACAAACTATTCAGGCTCTCTCCAATCAGAAGTCCTGTACAACCTTAAAGGAGGTAAATGCGCAAAGGGTTGAAACGCAGCAAGTGCTCATGTATTTAAAAGTCTGCTGGACTTATGGTACAACATCAACCCAAGCATATATAAACTTTTATTTCATATAGTATGCTCAACAAAATGTTGTTTACTGTCACTATCTGCGAGCGCGGACGTCTATTTATGGAGACGCAGGATGACGGCGCGCTCTCTCTCTCTCTCCACATATACATATATATCAGATAAAAGTTTAAAACATTATCTTTCATGTGATGAAACAACAGAAAATATTTTCAGAAATATACGAAATTTTATTTCAACTACATTTTCAACCTGTTATGACAAATGACTCAACATACATACCCTCACAGGACATTTTTTCTTTTTTAGGTATTCCGCGGTTGTGCTGGGTTGGACTCCTTTTGGCGTACTTTTAAGATGCTGGAAAGATTCCTCTGCGATTTTGGTTTCTATCAACAAGACAGCATCACACAGATGCTGCAGATTTGTTGGCC